TCTTGAAATTAAGGAGTGAGTTGTGCCTGTCCGTGAGGCCTTTCTGCCCTCTCGTCCTTGGAGGGGTGTAGTATACCCTTACTACGATTCTACTGAGTGGGAGGGGCGTCTTGTGCTTGCGCCCTTCTCCTGCTTGGCAATCTTTAGTCTTCATCTGGCGTTTCAAAGCTTCCATGTACCGCGCGCCATCCTTCGAATTAGTTTCATCTTGTTCTTTCACGGCGAATGCTTCCCAGGGCTTGAGATCCATCCCTCCTCTTGTCTGTCAGGACTGAGAGTGACGAGGCGTGCCATTCCGCCTTCCCTGCCCGCTCCTCCTAGAATTATTTTGTTGGGGCCTCCAAGTACCGGCCATTGGAGGGACAGCCAGTGTAATCCTTCCACGGCCTTTGCGCCCTCCTTCTGGAGTTAGTCCGTCGACGGCGACTGCGCAAGTTCTTCAATGTGTGCCATTGAATGAGAAAAGGAGAAGCTTAGTCAAGAGGTTTTTGTTCTTGTCTGTTCTTCCCACAGACCGGGGCGGCCAATTGTACGGGGAGGAAATATATTCTCCTGGTATAATCATTTGCGCCAAGCTCCACGCTCCCCGTACGCACGTCGCTTTGTCACCTGAAACCACAAACGTGAGCTAAGCCGCGGGTGTGTGCGAAACCTTCCGATGCTAAGTCAGGAAAACTTGACAAATAGACAAACGCTCTAAAGTTCTCAGAAGGGATTGGTGATCAATTACCTCCTCAAGGTATGCTTGTAGGCTTTTATAAGTTTCCCGTGGCATAATCCTGGTAGATCTTGTGATCTCATGCAGAGTCTCTAGGATTCATACTACCAAAGGATAATGCTTATCCTTTTGCACCCTTTCCCACTGCTTAAACCAAGTGGGATGGTTTCTCCATAGCCGAACTACCACAACGACGATAAATAACACTGGCTATGCTGAGCCACAGAAGAGCGCGAACTATCCTTAGCTGGTCTTCTCTTTTAACTCATTTACTTCGGCATGCCCCTGTTCACCTTGATATGGCTTACGTGATCAAACTTCAAGTAAACAACGTTCTGACCGACTAACCAGAGTGTGTCACGACGGGCGGACTATTCCGAAACCGGTTTTCCCAGAACATACTGCGACCGGACTAACTCTAAGACCGGCCCTACTCCGAGTTGTCTCTGGACCGGAGTAGCCTTACTGTTCCTTGGGCCGAAGCAACTATCTCTTCTTGAGCCGGAATAAACTCACCTCCTTGGGCCGAAGTAACTTTGTCTCCCCAAAGCCGGAGTAACCTTGCCCTCTAGGCCGGAGTATTCAGTACGGCCTTTTTACCTAGTCCTCTGCGTTTTGGGCCTCAAAACCCAACTCGAAGCTCGGCCCAATTTTCCCAAAAATTACCCTCTCATTATATTAACAAATTAATCTTTTGTAGGTTTTAGTCTTTTTATTTGTTTTATATTTAAAAGAGTAGTTCTAGTATTATAACAAAATAATATTTAGTTGATTTCATTTTTTTCTCAATCTATTCAGTTTTGGAGAGATTGAAAATAAAAATTATGAGAAAAATGTATTTCATTTGGTAATCCAAACAAGTGATTGAAATCTATTTTTGTTCATTATATATATATATATATATTTTTTAAAAATCACTCGAGACCAAAAATAAATAAATAAATAAAAATAACTACGTGTAATTTATTATTATTATTAGGTACGAGCTAAAAGGGGCATTTGTGGAAGGAGGCATTCCATTTAACAGGGTACATGGGGACACATGCAATTGCCTATTGTGGCAAGGACCCAAGATTCAATGATGTTTTCAACAAGGCACTGTTCGACCACACAAACATAGTTATGAGAAAAATCCTAGAATCCTGCAAGGGTTTTGAGCAACTCAAACATCTTGTTGATGTCGGTGGTGGTCTCGGTGTCGCCCTCAACATCATCACCTCCAAATACCCATATATTAAAGGGTATTAATTTCGATCTGCCCCCTGTTATCCAACATGCCCCAACCTATCCTGGTATTTATTTATTTATTTATTTATTTATTTACAACATTCATTATATAGTCTTCTTCTTCTTCTTATTATTTTTCAATAAAATATTTTTTATGACGTTTTAATTTCTAATAGCTCAATTATGTCAATTTCGTTTTCAAAGAGTTAAATGTGTGTCAAAGTGGTATCCACATGTTTGACGTTGCCTATATTCTTTGCTAGAATTTGAGATTTTTGGAGGAAAAAAATTATACCTTTACATAAAATGATTAATTATTGTTTTGGTTGGGAGTGAGCATGAATTGGTTTAGAAGAAAAGCAATGAACACATCACCATTTATGGTTGCATGAAGTTTTAAAATCAAATCAAACTCAACCAGTGAAACGCTGTTCAAATTAGTTTGAAGCCACACTAACAAATAAAAGTTTTGGGAATCAGATTTTTTTTTAATCTCAAAAGTGAAAATTTTGTTACTGTGGAGAAGTGGTTCGGAAATACTCTTTAGATCCTGTAGGACGTTCGTAATCCTCAGCTAGTCACTTGAAAAGGAATAAACACTCCGGTCGGGGGTGCCAGAATTAGCACTCTGACGGATAAGTTAGTGTATACTCTCTGGATTACTTATATCTCAAGTTAAACTTATTTGTTCTCACATACCTTTCTCTGACTGATGATCCCCTATTTATATTCTTCCCTTTGGGCCTTAGGGTCGGGCCCACCCTTGGTCCATTGCACGTATATCTATTCGGCTTTTGTTTGGCTGGTTGGAGAATGCCGATTCCTTTATTTGGCTCTGGATCAACTAGGATCAATGCCGAATAAAAGTTACGTCCACGACTGATCTCATATCTCTGTCTGGCCCTATCGCCCTCAGAATATTCGGCTCCCACAATTCCCCCCAAACACCCCAATAACACCAGTTAGTCGGCGTGTTTGGTTTCGAACTTGGAAAGTCAAAAAATTTGGCGGTTAATCCTCATTCCAACGTGTGTCAGAACGCACACGCTTTTTGGTCATCATTGCGATTTCTCGCCCCTTCGTACGTTGCCTCTATTTAATGTGATTTAAAACTTTGTCTCCTCGAATGTATGTTTAGAATACTCAAAAGTTTCTGGTTCGCCTTCTAGTGCAACTCCTCCACTTCGCAACTTCTGTAACTTCCTCCTGTTTCTCATTTTCCTTTCTGTTTCCTGTAAGTTTTCTTCTCCTTCACTTCCAATCCCTTTTCCTTGTTTGTTTTTAGTTTTGGCTAGGATGGCAAAACATTTGAAAGAGCTCCTTTCTGCAGATCAAATTTTCGCCTTCCGACGCCATTATTCCATCCCCGATGACGTCCATCTGTCACTCTTGGCAGACAGTACCACTGATATGGAGAGGACTGATGAGAGTACAATTGCCTTTCCTCTCCTATCGATTGCTGAACGCGGAGTCCGTTTTCCCCTTCACCTATTTTTAAGGGCCGTCCTTCGACATTGGGGTCTAATTCTTTCCCAGCCTAATGTGAATTTTTTCCGCATCATAATGGGGATTATAGAACTGAACCGACGTCTTAAGATTAACCTAGGTATACCTGCAATTCGGCATTGTCATGCCCTAGCCAAGTCTACTGCCCGGCTGAGACGCTACTTTCTTAGGGCTAAGGATACCGATCATCACTTAGTGACTATGCTTGCCAGCTCTGGCAAGCGTGTTGATGACATGATGGTCATTGTTCGAGGCAACTAGGAATTCGGCGAGGGTGAAAATTGCCTAGATCCCGTGCCAAGGCGAAAAGGTGAACAAGGTGGCCGTATAGCTCATTTTCGTTTCTTTTTTTACCATATATGTATTCGGCTCTCCATCTATGCACTTAATGTTTTGTTTATGCAGGCAACGCTTTGAAGAAAGTGTTGGTTTCAGCCGACGACGTTGTACTTGTGGAAATTAAAATCACACTATAGTTCGTTGGCTGTCCAAACCTTCAAAAACAAGGGAGGGCGGCCCACATTCTCTTGCGATACGAGCCAACTTATGCAACATTTTCAGTGATAGACCACATTCCAATTCCGAGAGGCGAAGACCATCTTACAGCCCTTATCTTCCCCAGCTTCAAAAACTTAAGACTGATTGGTTTAGAAGCCTCCGATTCGGAACACGTGGAAGGACAAGCAGCCGAACCGGTCGCCGAGAACCTGAACTAGTTGGTAGCCGAGGTAGACGAAGCTCTTAACTCAGCCTTTGAGGGAGTCAGACTCAATTCATTTGACCCTCCATCCATATTAGGTTGAGGGGACGTCTCATTCGAAGGCATTTTTACAAACTTGGGAGACCTTCTCGGTGCTTATCCCGAGGACATGGCTGGGGAATCGCTTATGCAACTTGCTCGGAGGAAGAACGCCGAAAGGATGGCTGCTAGGAGGAGAGCCGAGTTCGTTCGATCGAAAACTCCACCCGCCACGGTCGTTGAATCTTCTCCGCCTATTATTGCGGAAGAAATAGCTCAGACCGAAACCGCCGAGCTGGAGCAGGTGGAATGGGCGTATGAGGCTGAGCAAAGGGGGGAAAAGTGCCCCGTTGGGCAAGAAGCCGTGCAGGATGAGGACTAAAGCGACAAATGGCCACGTATTGAGGAATTAGAGTTGGTTGTTCCGTTCATTGTTCAACCAAGGATAAGGAATATGCCGATTGCCTCTGATGCGTCGCCTTTGAAGGACCCAGCTGCGGCCTTAAGTATGGCCTCCTCAATATCCCTGCCGGTTGACAGAGCCACATTCCGCACGGAGCCAGATCTAATGCTAGTTGCTTTGGCTGCTCAATCGGCCTTATCGGTACATTACTTGTCTGTAGCCTTCCATCTTAATGCATATATATATATATATATATAAATATTTTTCTCTTTATTTGTTTGTTGTAACTCTATTTCCTTGTTTTGTAGATGGTGGGCAGGATAGCTGAGATCGGCCGCCATCAACATGACGCGATAGAATAGTTCAGCTTTTTGAAAGCCAAAATTGAGAATGAAAAGAACAAGGTTGTGATAGCCTCTCAAAGAGCCGATTATGAGGCATCGCAGGCAGTGGAGGAACGGGCGAGAGCCGACTTTGAGGCCAAGCGAGCGAGGAATTCTGAACAATTGAGGCTTGCTGCCGAGGAGAGGGCAAAGGCGAGCGAATATGCGCTCCTGTTAGCAAAGGAGGTGATCGCCAAGCTGGAAGCCGACTTGGAAGAACCGAAGAAGGCAAAGGAAATAGCCGACTCCAAGATTTCCAAGGCGTTCCAAGCTGGGAAGGATGCCGCCTTGGAAAGTTACGTGGAAGAAATGCCGAAGTTCGAGAATCGGGGCTTCAAACATGGCTGGGTCAAAGCCCTCACTGCTGCGAATGTGACATTGGCGTAGCCGATTCCATACGAGCAGGTGGACGTTGAGCCGCTGGCGTCTGACCCTTAAGATTAATTAAGGCATATTTTGGTTTTTGGTAGGCATCTTAGATGCACAGTTTTCGTAGGTTTTTGTTAGTAGATTTTCATTTCTTTAAATGTAAGCTAATTTTCATGTGTAAAATGATTGCTATTAGCGCTCAATTTATTAATGAAAATCTTCTATGCTTTTCATTTTATTGCATATACTGTTTGTCTTTAATTTGTTGATGACAATTCCTTATGCTTTTCTGTTTGTTATATGAGTAAATAGTATATTCGATAGGTTAGCCGAATCAATTAAACATCCTCTGCCTCTTTGCTCTTTAACCAAATAACTAAAAGAATCAGCAGTTAACAATTTGTAAAGGTGCATGAAAATTCAATAGACTAATAAGTAAAACGGCTTAAGGCTTCAGCGTCTGGCCGATTATATTACTGAATCTGCACTTGTCCCAGCGGGTGCATGAATTGGGACACCGAATGATATTGGCCCATGGAGCGGCTGGGGCACTCAATAAGGTCGGCGCAAGGGCTTGTCTTATGGCCGATTAGATTGATGAATCTGCTCTTGCCCCAGCTGGTGCATGAAAGTTCAAGGCTAACAAGTAAAACAGCTTAAGGCTTCGATGTTTGGCCGATTATATTATTGAATCTGCCCTTATCCCAGCGGGTGCATGAACTGGGATGCTGAATGATATTGGCCCATGGAGCGGTTGGGGCACTCAATATGGTCGGTGCAAGGGCTTGCCCTATGGCCAATTAGATTGATGAATCTGTCCTCGTCCTAACTGGTGCATGAAAGTTCAAGACTAACAAGTAAAACGGCTTAAGGCTTCGGCGTCTGGCTGATTATATCACTGAATCTGCCCTTGCCCCAGCTGGTGCATGAAAAGTCGATCGGCACCAGGCTTTTGAAGTTTAGCATTAATGAGATCGCCTTGGGGGTGATGCATCCGTAGGGAATAAATGAGATGAGTGCTTCATGCGCGTAGGTCCCATTAGTGTGTTCAAACTCGACTCACACCAGTCTATTGAGGAAGGTTAGATTAGTGTGAATGTCAAGTAGACTATTCTTTAACAGCAGAGGAGAGGGGAGGACATTGGCTGAGCTGGACGTAGAGATGAATCATAGTGGCGAGCCTATGCGCACGGGTAGTAGGACGTCGAGGGAGCGGGGGAGACGCCAGTCCCCATGTCGTCGAAGTAGGTCACCCAGAAGGAAAAAACAGTAACGGGGAAACTCCCTCAACCGCGCTCAAAGGGAGAATCCGGTGTGACACTGTGCCCGTTGAGTTTTGCAGTTTTTGTGAGGAACAAACCGATGACAGAAGCGGATTCAATTGTGCATGACCTAACTGTGGCAGTGGAGTTCGCTCGATAGATTTTTTCACCAAAAGTCCAGCAGTCGATGGTTGTTCGACAGGATTTCGAGGTGTTTCGGGAAGGCATCCATGGAGCGGTGAGAGAGCTGTATACCGCCTATGAAATTGGCATGCGTCTACGTGCCATGCGGTGGGAGATAGAGCAGAAGGATGAACGCATTCGGAACTTGGAAGCTCGTGCGAAGAAGGTCGAGTGTGAACTGAAGGCCAAGACTGCCGAGACACATTTGTCCAGCCCAGGT